CACTGTAGGAGGGGGACAACTGAAAACGGAGGCCTCCACCTCTGTTTAATGATGGACGGTCTTCGGAATTTTGCCTGAAACTCTCAGACTGAAGAAGTCTCTTGGAGAAGAGATGAAACGTTTCATTAGAGAAGAACCTGTCCAGAAGACCTACACAATTTTTTTCTTTTTGTTTTTTTTAATTCAGAAGTTGCTTCTGTAATTTGTACTCATGGAACATCAAGGAGGCTCTAAGTGTCTTCAGCTGTGTTGAACCTTAAAATGATCAATTGGCTTCCTAATTAGTGTCACCATTACTTTAAAACAGCAGTGTGTTTACTGCTGCTAAGCTAATTTGGTCTATATACAAAACACTACATTGTTTTTTTAAATTTTTTTTTTATTTCCATGCTGTCAAGTGCGCAACAGTCCTTTCCTAACCTGCTTAGCAGCTGAATGCAGACAGGTTCTATGCAACGACTCTAATTACCAGGCCTTATTAGGGTTGATCAAGCTGCCTTCTCTTGATGTGTTGGCACTGAAGGGGGAGCGCTTGTAAGGGGGAGGCAGCTATTAGATATAACACTAAGGACACTGAGACACAGGGATGCAATGTTTCTACAAGCCAAATTAGACCTGACAAACAAACTTTTAGTGCAGTTGCTATGTGCTGCCAGATTTATTGGAAGAAGAATCAAAGTAAATACTCAGCCTCACTGCTTTTATCGTGACAGGATAAACAGATGCGGTAATAGCAGGGCTGTTCAGAGTTTGCATTAAAAAAAGAATCTCGCTCTAGTATTTGTATGGGAGTTATCMACGCACAGGGGCCTGTTGAGAACTGTTTTTTCCCCCTCTCCTCCCAAGATCACTTCCTCCTATACAGATTTTGATTTCATGCACAGGCATGGCCCAAAATCTGGGTTCAAGACGGAAGGTTTAACGCATGACGAGGGCCACGCTGTAAGATACGGCTACATCCAGAGAAGCTCCCTGTGTTTCATCTTAATTTCAAATGAACGCTGCATCAGCCATAAATTATTTACACAACATGTCTGCATTTATTTCAGTTTGGCTCAGGTATTTCACTGGTGGTGGTGGTGGTGGTGGTGGTGGGAGTGTGAGGTGGGTGGGTGGGTGAACTCCATACCCTCAGCACTTGAAGCAGAGAGAAAGAAGACTACAGCGTGTCAGAAAGTGACATGACCCGAGGGACAACTTGGTTTTTGTTTCAGTGTGACTCTGGTAAAGACTTGATACCTGCGAGCGGAAGTATTCTGCTGCAGACTGTAGGGAAGGGGAAAAAATCTGTTTAAAACATAAAATAAGCATTGTTTAAAACCCTTACATTGAATTTGAATATCTGGGCAATTAAAGGCTGGAAGTATTGAGCAGCAAATATGCCTTAAAGCTAATCCTGTATTACACTGGAGGCAGAAAAAAATACTAATAATAATGAAATTAAGTTTATGCTTTAAATCTGAAGGAAAAGGTGGAGGCTATCTCTGGGTGGTTGAGTCCAGGAGTTCAAGTATTCAGAAGTTTTGTTCAAGCTGAAGAGAGAGATGAATCAGAGCTTTGTCTACAATAAAAGAAGACTTGCAGTGCAGAAAATAAATAGAAAAAGCTTTTGATTTACTGCTCCATCTTTGTCACAACATTCACCTATGGTCATGATGTTTGGATCATGAATGAAGGAGCAAGATATCAAATTGCATTTCCTGCAAAAATGCTATGCCTTTTGCTGAAAAGCTTGGCTGAAAGCTGTTGAAATGGAGATGAAAATGTTTAATGCGAGAAAGGGACATAAAATAGTTTAACGTAGTAGAAAACAGGAGCTGAATAATAGCTGAAAAAGCAGGAAAAGAAGCTAAAATGAGCATAAAAACAATTAAAGGTAGCAGACACAAGTTGAAATTAGCTCCCAGGTGGTAAAAGGGGTGTTAGTAAAGTCAAATTAGCAGGAAAAAAAAGCATCAAAATACAAAAAGTGACAATTTGTTGTCACTTTTTGTGACAACACGGCAAATATTTGCAGTAAAACAGCTAACGTGTAGCTGGAAATTCTTTAATTAGCATAGGAGAACAAGTTTGCTGAACTTAGCAGAAATAAGTTGTAATAACTGCAAAAAATGTGTATTTAACTAACAAAGCTCATTTTAGCTAACAGCTGAACATTAGCTAAAATTGCAGCAAATAGTTGAATATAGCAGAAAGCAACTGGAAGAAGCAGAAATAGTTCAGATGAGCAGAAAGAAGCAGAATAGCCGAAATAGCTAAAATTAGCATAACACAAGCTGAAATTAGCACTCAGATGGTGAAAGTGTTGTAGAAAGCAGAAAACATGCAAATAATAATAATAATAATAATA